AGGCGTGCGCAGACGGAGGTAAGCAGTGCACAATAAATACGCGAAAACTCGCAGCAACCGAAGAACCACGCAGCAAACACGTACGTGCACACGCACCAGAAGCACGTGCGTCACGCTGCGTATCTGGCGTATCTACGCGGAACTGGAGATTTTGGCATTTCGGTAATTTGAAACTTCGATATCGATTGCGTGAACAATTTATTCAGCAAACTGAACCGGTGGAGCCTCGCATAAAAAAAAAAAAAAAATCGTTTCACAATATGAAAGCGATTGAAATTCTTCCTAAAAGCTATATTAGCAGAAAGTACCGTGTCATAAAGGACCTCACGAGTTTCGACCAAGTTTTCCAGCACGTTATTTTGCAAGAAACGGAAGAAGCCAAGTGTACAACCAGTTTCCGAAGCTGGCAACCACAGCTGGAATCAGCGCCATCCTCGGCAGTTTCCTGAACCTCGCGTAGTCACATTTCAGCCACCGCCACATAGAGGGCGCAACCAGACATCCAATTTGTGTTTTCTGTATGTTTTATGATTTGTTTTAATAAATAGGCTCGATTAGTGAAAATGTGGGCTAATAATCAAGACCTGGAACAGTAATCTCCATTTAATACTAAAAATATCGGCCTAAATGTCTGCCAAAAAGGGTCAAAATACTCGGTTTTGACTATCAACAAATTCGTGATTTCGCCTATATTCAAACTTTTTTTATGGAAACTCAAAGGTGAAATTTAGAAAAAGGGCCTCTAATGACAAAGCAGAATATGTTTTTCTTTGCAGGTCTACGATTTTATTCAAATGTGCCAATCCCTAAGCGCTGTACCACTGTACTACCAAATGAAGTTTGCCAAAAAAAACTGTTTTTGTCACTTTTCACGTGAGCATTCCGAAAAAAGTTTAGGCCATATTACAATGAAATTTAGCATAGCTCTTTCTACCATAGTTGCAAACACATGTGAAAAGTTTCAAATAAAATGACCGAGTAGGCGGCCAAAAATCCGCGACTGAATGTGCTTCCGCGAGGTACATTTTTTAAAGTAAATATCTGTCAAAATAAAATGAAAAACGAAAAAAGAGCCTCTAATGACAATGAACGCACTCTTCTTCTATAACATTCTAAAATTTTGAAATAATTTGCTCCAATTGTGCACCCTGTACCACTGTACTACGAAACCATGTTTTGCCGAAAAGGCCAATGTTCGCGGGTGCCCACTGAATTAGCGTTTTGCACTAGGAAAACAAATCCTACATCAGAGGAAAGATAATGTTGTACAGGACAAGATGATATATAACACATAATTTTAGAAAGCTTGAACACGCCACAATCGCATTTCGAAAACGTGCGGAAAGCATCATATGTCATGGCCGCCGTGGGACCGCAGCCTTAAGCATAAAACACCATCTTTCAGAAAATCTCGACGGTGTCTTCGGCATATTTTTAAAAACAAGCATGCAACAATAATTTCCTCCAGGGAAACTTTTCTTAGCATCCTCCCACCAGCGAAAGTGCGGGATACATGCCACCACTGCTAGGGTGCACGTCTCCTATCTCTGGGTAATGACATCAAAATACCTAATGTTGTGACACTTCTTGTTGTTTTTTTTCTGTAGAACACATGAAATGGCATCTAGTTGGTTTACGCTCTTACTGTCTTAGCTTTGACCTGTACCATGGCAGCGGTCGATGCGATTTCTTTGTATTTTCTCCGTGATTGCAGTCTGCACCAGAGCAGGCGCACTTCTATAGGTGCGACAGTTGAGATGCGCAAGTTTGTACTACCCAAAACCAGTCGCTTTTCGCAGCCTCCCCCCGTGGGCATGTGGCCTGATCAAGGTCATGCGAGCCGTGTCTTGTTCCATACCCAGACTTCTCTCATTTCACTCCAGAAGGCCAGTAGCCGTCGAGTTTTTGGTAGCGCACCTGGCTTACCCACCTCACTTGCGGACGTTATGCAAAAAACAACATGAACAAAAAAGCTGAAAGGTCGGCACTATTATTTTGATTATTTTTAGCTTAGTTCTTTCTAGTTCTCAGAAGCTTTTTTAGCACACACCGGCAGATGCCGACAGACACTTTGGTTGGACTGCGGGTTGTGCTCGGCATCATAAAACGCTAGAACGCCGGTTTCATGGTTGCATCTTACGGTCGTTGCAGGTGGTAGTATAGCGTGTTCTAATAGCATATGATGCCATATTCCGCCACGCGTATGTCCGCACGACTAGCATGCAATGTCAAATGGCAGACTAGGTGCACCAGACTTCGCGACAGACATTATGCTTGCAAACATGTTTGGCTGAGCAGTCAAGCCAATTCAGTGGTAACAAGTGGGGCCTAGAGCGGGTGGTGACCTCCACCTATATTGCGTATCGCGACGTAGATATAACGCTAAAACTTTGTATTTTTCCTGAAAAATTTCTTTACTGACCTATGTATGTGTAGCGACACACACGGCCTGCTCAGGCAACAACAAGAGTGAAGACAGCGAAGCAGAAAAGCCTCTGCAGCACGAGGAATAAAATGCAGCAGTTCGAATCCAAACATTGTCCGAGCTGATTCCTTTCATCCCAGTTCCTACAGATATGGTGACCCGGCAGCTAGAGGCATCATGCCCTTAGATGCAAAAGTTACGGCCATCAGAGACTTTCCACAGCCAACATCTTTAAAGAAATTGCGTGAACTCCTAGGGCTCCAAAATTTCCATCGCCATTTCATATCGACTTGTGCACAACCGATCAAGCCGTTGATTGACCTGCTTGCACCAAGAAAGAACCCTCTGCGCCCCTTGAGTGTAATGAAGATGCATTTCTGCTTCTTCATTGGTGAAAAAGGTGCTTGTGGACGCTGCAATGCTCATCCACCCCGTTCCGGATCTGGATGCAAAACTTCAACTCGTCACCGACGCATCAAGTGTAGCTGTCGTGGCGGTTCTTCAACAGAATGTCAATGACTGGCTGCCTCTAGGATTTTTCTCGCACGAACTGAAGAATCCGGAACAAAAGTACCATACTTTTCCACGCAAACTCCTGGCAGTGTACCTTGACATCAAACACTTACACTACTTCCTTGAGGGCTGTAACTTCCATGTTCTTACAGACCACAAGTCCTTGACTTTCAGATTCCAAAGGAACCACAGCGACCACAGAGCATGCGAGATCCGGCACCTCTGCTTCATATTAGAGTTTACCGTGGGTCTCGGCCATGTCAGAGCGGCCATAAAAGCACTGCAGCGGACTCACTGTCTCGCGTTGGTGCTATTTCCTCGGCAGATCCAGTGGACTGGGAAGAGCTGGCAACCGCTCAAGGCGACGATCCTGAGCTGCAACGCTTGCGCGCCTCTCCTAAATCGCTGAAGTTTGCCGACGTTTCCTTACCCTTTCCTTGAGTAACGGTTACCTGTAAAACGTCACTGGTGTGTCCCACCCATTCGTACCACCAGCGTGTTGTCACACTCTTTTCGACGATCTGCACAACTAGAGCCACCCCGGAATTTGTGCTTCACGGAAGTTAATAACTGCTCATCTCTTCTGGTCGAGTATGAACGGGGTTGTCTGTCGCTGGGCACGAACATGCATTCAATGTCAACATGTCAAGATCACTCGACACATAATCACCCTCCTCTCACCTTTTCGTCCACCGGACTCCAGGTTCGCACACACATCCAGATTGACTTAGTGGGATCCGTTCCGTCATCATGGGCAGCCCACTATTTTCTGACGTCTGTCGGCGGACCCACAAGATGGCCCAAGGCATTCCCCATCCCTGACATGACAGCAGAGGCAGTCGCTCTCGTTTCAGCTGCCCTGCTGTAGTCACCACCGACAGGGCATGGCAATTTCAATCACCATCTTGGGCGTCCGACACATCCAGACCACCACCTATTATCCGTCAGCCAACGACATGGTGGAACGGCTGCAGTGCCGGTTGAAAGCAGCTTCGCCACCTACGAGCTGCGAGAATGTTGGGCCGACCACCTTCCCCTCGTTCTCCTAGGCCTTCAAGGCAGATTGACTGTTCTGCAGCTGAGTTGGTCTACGACACACCACTGTGCCTACCTGGCGAATTCTTCTTTTTGCCTTCTGCCGAGTCAAAAGAAGACTCCAGTGTCTATGTTGATGACCTCCGACAAATCTTTGATCTCTGGCCTATTCTTCCACCTCAACAGAGTCATAGACACATCTTCGTTAACCAAAGCCTCGAGACATGTTTGCATGTTTTCCTGCAACGCGACCAAATCTATCTACCCCTAGTGTTGGCCTACGATGGACCGTTTCGAGTACTTGATTGCCAAGCCAAGACATTCACACTGGACATCAACGGTTGTCATGACTTAGTGGCAACCGACCGCATCAAACTGGCGTACATGGCCACAATCTCTCCTCATGCTGTTCCCACTCCCTCGTTAGCACTTTCCACACTGGCATCTACACCAAAGCATGTTACATGGAGCTCTTTTAGGACCTCCGGCTCTACAAGGGTGAGCCTTGTAGCGACACTCATGGCCTGCTCAGGCCATGAGTGAAGACAACAAAGCAGAGAAGTGATCAGTTGAGTGAGGAATAAAGCGCAGCAGTTAAAATCCAAATGCTGTCCGAGCTGGTTCCTTTCATCTCAGTATACGTCTAGAAACTGAAAAAAAAAAAATTTTCATTTTAGTGGGTTTTTTTTTTAACTCGTCACCGACTATACGATGTGCAAGTTAACCTGCCAAAATCACCCATATGCTTTTGTTTCATCCACCTCAACCAATGACGGTGCACGCTTGGCGGCCTCGTGATTACATGTTCCCCGCGTTGCCTATCCTTGCGCTTCAAAACCCGATGCCCCAAGGACGCATTTTGGAACGCCTGCTTGCCCAATAGCTAACAGGGGTGGCGCCCCAGAGCAAAGCTGTAAAGCCTACCTTATCACAGGCCCATCAGCATTTTTTCTCCAAATTTTAGGTTGACACTCGCTCAGTATCTTACAAGACTAGTTCCCCATGTCGTGCTTCTTTTTCTCCACAGACTGGAGCGGGGGCCAGGACGCACAAGCCCGTGCTGTACACCGCAGACAAGAACCTGGTGACTGCCGACCGGAACAATGAGCGCAAGTTTGTCTTCATCTCGGAGGAGAACAACGTTGACTACCGACAGAAGTTGGACAACCACCATCACCACAATAACAACAGCAGCACCACCAACAACAACAACTGCGAGAACAACCACATGCAAAGTCACAACGCCCTCAAGTGAGACTCCTCTCCCAAAAACTTTCTCTGTCACTGTTATGGGATGTACAGGGTGTTTATTATTTATTCGAAAAGATTACAAAAAAAAAGGGATGATGGTTACAGAGGTGCCATCTGCACCATGTATTTATCAGGCTTGGTGTGCTATCGGGTTTGAATGAAATGCGAACACTGGAGCATGTGGCCGTCAACATAAGCTGCGCCTCCGGAGGCCTTTGGAAACTGATAAAACTGCGGAGTGCAGAATAGGGTACTGCTAGGGTGTGTGTCCTACTCCGATGTGTTGGAACCTGGCCCAGCATAACCTAAGCCTTCACGCTGTGTCGGTGTTGCGCTGGAAGTTCCATCACTGTTCGCACTTCATTTGAACCCAATAGTACATTCAATGAGAGAATAACCACCATTATAAGTTGGCTAATAATAATCTGTTAAATAACTTTTACAGTGGAGCTGCTAAGGGCTAGTTTCCCCAGTATCGTGTCCGTAAGCAAACAAATGATGACACCAAACTCTGGACAGCTACCGCCATCTATAAGCGACGGCGGCAACCAGACAACCGGCTTGCCAGTTGTCTGATTGCTGCCGTCGCTCATGAATGGCGGCAACCTTTACAGACTTTCCACTCTGGCTTGCCGACTTTCAGAAGCTTAACCAAAAAGGTGAATGAAAAAATTTAACAGTTCCATGTGAATCCAGAGTACAGCGACGGCTGTGGCCTCTTTCTCGCGAGCACGGAGACGGCGAGCTGCTGCTTGTGATGCTTTGTGCTCTTCAGTTTGTCAAGCTTAGTGTTCCCTTGCTGCAGCAGCAAGTATAGCTTTGCACCTTACGTTGAAGAGCCATCGTCAGTGTCCACTCGGAGAGTTACACGCTCATCTCAGAGTCATACTAATTTATTTTATACACGCTCTCTAATGGACGCGACGCTTGGGTAGCGTGACATTGGTGTAACTGCAGCCATCTAGCGAGCGCTGTGTGAGACTCGTATGCACAGGTGTCCTCCACACATACAATTATTAGGCCGTGCATCGCAGAAATAAGCGTAGCTCTGTGGTACGCACTTGCTTTACACTCGGCAGACCTGGTTCGAATCCTGGCGGCTTGGCGGATGTTCTTTTTTTAATTTTTTACTATATCAACGACGGACACCCTACAACCCCGCACAACGCCCTACATCATTTCAAGTGGAGGAAAGAGCCCGTAACAGTTGCCACTGTAAAATATGTCGTTGACCACTTGGGAAATGCTAGTGCAAGGAGCAGAAATGTTGATATATCTACAGAACACACAATGCTCATCCCTAGATTCCCTCCTCGCACTTTCCGCACTGAGAAGGAGCTTCATTGCTATTTTGGAGGGCTTTTATAACCTCTCGGCACATCAAATAAAAAAAATAATTGTGGTATTCGTAATATAGGCCAAACGAAGATTATTTGAGAATTTGTTTTCTCAAATGCAAAATCGACTTTTCTTTCCAGTTTCTTAGCGGCACCTACCCATCAACGTAAATCTACTGATGGAGAGTGGGACTGTCGTTTCAACGGATATCAGTGCAGTGCAAAATTCATTGAGTTAAGACGTGCTATTTTTACTTGCAACACTTGAAATTTTCTAATGGAGTCCAAATATGTATACTGTTTATAATTTTGTTACGGCAGTTTCTTTGTAATCTCAACATCGGTAGATCTGGTGCCGGTGCAGAAAGATTCTGTTTTACAGCGAAGCTGTTAAGCGCTAGGATCTGAGAAAAATGCTTCCGCAGATGTTGGCAGAAAGCTCCCCATGGGTCGGGGCAAGTATGAATAAATAAATATAAAAAGAGAGGGCAACCAGCGTGAGTCTGCCTTCCTTGGCGTTATTAGATAGTGAGGTCCTGATCTCTTGTTATCATCTCTAGGCACCGTCCTCGAGGTCGTCCTAGGCATCATCGTCGAGGGCATCCTAGGCGTCGTCCTCGAGGTCATCCTAGAGATCATCCTCAAAGTTGTCCTTGAGATCATCCCAGGGGTTGTCCTCTAGGCGTCATCCTTGAAGTCATCCTAGAAGTTGTCCTTGAGGTCATCCTAGACATCCTCAAGGTGGTCCTAGATGTCGTCCTTGAGGTCGACCTTGAGGTCGTTTTGCACGTCGTCCTCTAGGCATCATCTTAGACATCGTAAAAATAAGATTCGCTGGTCCTCAATCCTCATGTGAAGTGAAAAGGCTCTACAATTTTTTTATGCTACTTACAAAGGGATATGGTGTTACAGCTGGGGCACAAGCATATTAAAAGAATTTGTTTGCTGGTGGCAGCAATATCAATCTTCAGGCAGAATGTTGGAATATTTGTTGCAAACAGACCTCTCCTGCCAAGGTCCTGAGAGTCACGCTGGAGCTGCACCAGTGGACATACGTGGTAATCATGCGGGCACCCCTTTTTTTGACAGTGGTGGGCAGAAACCGCCTGTGGTGGCTGCCAAACGGTTTGCGACCTCACCGGGTCGCCACTTTGCCTGGCGCCGTGGTGGCAGCGGAGGTAGCGAAGACAACGAAGACGACGCCGGGAGGCTCTTTTGCGACGTGGTGTCGAGCCACACGCTGCCCGTGGCCACCTTTGTCACCATCCAGGACAATGACAGCAGCGCCAGCGAGCCCGAGCTGGACTTCGAGCTGCCCCGGACAGAGGCCGAGGTGAGCCCCCTTCCTGTGGCCAGACCGGCCTAAACTGGAGGCTTTTTAAACCTTTCTCTGGGGCAGTAGACGAGCAAGTTTTGGTGGCAAAAGGATTGCCATATTTTCGAGTAAATATAGAAGGCCACACTCGCGAAGTAAGCGAGGCAGACACTTTTTGCACCGGTGCGAGCGGATAAAATGCACACAGGCTGGTTTTTTTTTTAGGTTTTACAGTCGATTTAAAAAAAGCTTTGAAAGCAGCACTATGTGGCCTGTGCAGGCAAGCTGTACAGCCAGGGGCACATAATATAAGGGCTAATTGTCACAATAAGTAGGATATTAACTAAAATTTGTTGATTAACTTTTTTAGTAGTGAAATTAAACATTATGTTTTATTAGAAGTTTCCTGAGCATCAGCAACCATTAAATAAGTAAATTTCAGAAATATTTCAGGCATGGGGGCAACGGGCGCAATGCTGGCTGCTGAAAAGTGTGGATGGCATTAATGCTGCTCAGCAAGTTTCTGATTGGAACCATATCTTTATATTTAATAATTAAAAGGTTAACTTTTTTTATTTCAATTCAGATTAATTGTGACAATTGTTCTTATTATGTACCCCTGGATATATAACTCATCTGCACAGACCACATTAGTGTAGCTTTTAGTCAAATAAAAATAAAAACACTACAGTATGGTCATATTGCGGGTCACCACGTAGAAACATCCAAGTCAAGTTATGCCACAGACATATGGGCACTCCTTATGCTCGACATCAGCGATTTAGCACCTTTTGTTACAAATGCCGTGCCAACAGCGGAAGCCGCTGAACATAGTACTTCGAACAAGAGTGCTCCTTTAGTGGGCAAGCACACATGGCAAAAATGTAGACTGTTAACCGCCGTTACGCCAAGCGTGGTCTTGACATCAGCGATTTAGCACCTTTTGTTACAAATGCCGTGCCAACAGCGGAAGCCGCTGAACATAGTACTTCGAACAAGAGTGCTCCTTTAGTGAGCAAGCACACATGGCAAAAATGTAGACTTAACTGTCGTTACGCCAAGCGTGGTCTTGACACAAGCCTGTTTTGCCCGCACGCATGTCACCCGCGGTTCCTCTTGCCCCTCATGATTGAACCCCTGTGGCTTAATGTGCAGCTGCGCAAGGCCTACAAAAGCCAGGCGGCAGAGCTGAAGCGCCTCAAGGACCAGCTGACGGCCAAGGACAAGAGGATCCAAGAGCTGGAGGCCCAGCTGCAGGGCGTCGGCCTCAACGGCCGCTAAGGGGAGGGCTCACGAGGCTCCACGGGGCCAGCCGAAGCATCCTGCTGTACAAAGCCACTGCGGACGACGGACGCCTGCAACAGATCGGCCCGTGCTTCGCATCCCGAGACAGACGGGGCCAATGAAATTGTGCTGCATTCCAACAGTGTCCGCTTTCGATTGGTGCACAGCTGGAGTTGTGTAACGAGTTCTCGAGCTTATGCAAGAATTACCGGCCCCCTTTTTGCCGTCTATTCTGCCTCGTTTTTATGTTGCCGACACGAACTGGAACTCTCAAGCTGGACACAGACGCGACTCGATCCGGGGGGAGACAGTGCTTTTTATCTCGCAGAACGCTGCTGTCGTGCAATAGCACTTACTTAATCGCCGGGCATACCGAAACAGTATATGCTGCGTCAAATGCACAACACTGTGTGGGGTCCGGTGACTGCCATGCTGTTGTTTGTCAAGTCTCGAACTTCAATGCCGGGTAGTGCTTCGACCATTCGCTCAAAGCATCGCCTTTTGCATGTATTTGCGACGAAACCAGTTTTTACACAGTCGCTGTTTTCCTCATTAAGCTCGTACTGGAAGTAGCGCTTTGCAGATGAACGACCCGTTTCGACTCATTTATACGGCTTGGCTTTTGTCATTTTTTTTTTTTAACTTGAGTGCACACACTGCTGTTCATTGAAAGTGCTTGTATAGCGGTCATTTGAGGGCTGTTCACTGCCTCCAATTGGCACAAAACTATCCTGCAATGTATGCAAGGCATGCAAGTTTCACAAAAAAAAAAAAAGCAAATGAAAAATTTGAATGTTTATGGCCCCCATATTGTGGGCCACCACCAGCCACAAAGCAGCAAAACAATTAAAACCTAGATATTAGAATAGCTGAAACTAATAGGACAAAAGCCTTTTTTATCCAGATAGGATTGCCAATGCTTCCTACCTTTGTTGGTGGAATGAGCCCATGAATCTGAGCAAGCAAAATTATTGGGGTAGTTGCTCTTACCTTGTATGTTATACTAAGTCACGTCAGTGCATTTTGTTCAGAGCTATCCAATGGCTGAAAGCCCATTTGTTCATTGGAGACAATGTTGAAAGCCTAAAAATTGAGTCACGAGGTGTTCCTCTACATTTGTTGGAACAGATTTGCCAGTGCAGTTGGAAGGCTCAAATAAAGAGAAATTCTTTGAAGCTAAACACTCTGCTCTCAATGTGTGCAAATCATACATCACAAGACACTTCCAGCAGTTGTCAAGCAGTTTCAGTAAAAACTTTATTTAACAATGGAACCAAACATGGACAAAGCCCTTGCTGATAATTTACACTTCTGCACCCAAGTGGCATACCTGCATCGCAGAACACGATGACTGCAACAGCAAAGCCTGCACTATGCAAGTTACGAGTTTTAAATTGGCAGAGTGCAGGCCTCCCTTTTGCACCTCTTGATGCAACAATAAAAAGAACCTCATTTTCATCATCATGGAAGTGTTTTCAAAGGGGAACCGACGAAAGAAAGTGGCAGAAGGGAGTCTCGGAAGATGACGATGATGTAATGTGCTCATGCTGCACCCTGTCCCTAAAGGCTGGCGCTCTGCCCCCACCAGTCTCCGCCGCCCTGCTCATTGCCAAACCAGCAGTTTCCCCAAAGAGGAACAGAGCTCAGGGTTAGGGAATGTGTGGCATGCACACTTTGCCTCAAAGCTGGTCTGAGGTAAAGTGCAACTGTTGTAATGGTACAGAGCTATACACAAGATAAAATGTGGCTTTTTTTTTTTTCTGTGGCAGGGAAACAATAAAATGAAATAGGAAAAAAAAAAAAGCAGCCCCTTTTCATCTTGTTGAAAGCTGCATGTAAACAGCCCTCCAAGCTGACGCAGGAAATCCAGATGAGGGGGGCTTGGGACAGGTACTGAGAATGATGCGATTGTGATGTTGCATTTCATGTTTTTTTTTCCACCTGCCGCTGTACAAGTCTACGGGTGACAATGAATAAAGAAAATCTAAATTAAAGATGCCGGGATGTTTCAGTTGCATGTGCTCAGTCTTCCTCCCCGTCGTCTTCTCTCTTTCTCTTCTGGCCTTTCGGAGATGCATTTTCTACAAGGAAGTGAAGACAGTGTAAGCTGTGGCATACTCACACCAGGATTCCACCATCCTGCAAAGCTCTAGCTCCATTTCACCATACCAGATGCCCACTCCACACCCTTAAATAGCACCAGCATCTATGTGCCCCCTTACACATACTCAAGCCCCTACTAGCAGCAAGCATGAATGTTCTTTGGGCAACATCATGCAGCAAATCTGCTGGTACAGAGAAGCATGTACGTGCACAACTCGGGCAAAGCCCACTCACCTTCACCTTCACCGTCTTCGTCATCCTCTGCACCATAAGGATTGAAGAACTCTCCTTCACTCTCCTCCTGCAACGAGAGCAACGTCAGTGGCCCCCCACACCACGAGCAAAATCAAGAGCAAGCAAGTTGCTAGACACCAAGGGACCCCCATGATGGAAAGGTACTAACATCAATGTCATCCTTTTCTAGGTATTCGAGACCGACCTCTTCCTCTCCATCCTCCTCGTCATCCACATCATCATCCTCTTCCCCATCCTCGTCCTCTTCATCATCCACATTCACGTCATCCTCATCATCCTCTGCAAGGAAACGGGAACTCTCTCGCAATGCTCGCACGAGTGATCCTGGTGCAGACTCACCGTCACTCTCTCCATCCACATCATTCTCTTCCTCCTCGTCCTCATTCCCTGCAGGGCAAAAAGAAGATGCTCCAGGCATGCCCCCAGAAAAAAGAAAGCAGAGCAAACGCACCGTCTTCCTCGTCCACCTCCGAGTCCTCTGCCTCCTTCTCGTCCCGGTCGTAGCCGTCCAGGTACTTGAGGCTGAGGATGAGCTCAAAAACCCTGTCCCGGTAGTTTTCAATGCTGGTCACCTCACAGTTGAACAGGTCTAAGTTCTTCAGGTTCTTGAACTCCTTCTGCAGATTTGAAACATAAGCGGACCACTCTGAGCTCTGTGCACTAGGTGCAAGGACGTCGGACTTCACCAGCTCTGCATAAATGCCCAGTTTAGTCCCCGCAGACCTCGTAACAAAAAGGACAAGTAAGCTGCCACTCCCTACAGTTTAGGGTGAGGTCTACTGTCGCAAGCAGCAACACTTTGGTACAATGCATGAAAACAGATGCTCGTAATAGGCAGGACAAAGCACTAAGCCATGTACTGCAGTAATAAATCAAGAATACTGCATGCACAATGCACCAAATAAAAGACTGGCATAAACCAGTCAACTGAGGTCATTAACCTTGTTTAAAGAAATATGAACGTCAAGCAGGTCATTAACACAACATAATACAGGGATTCGTCACATTGTACTGCTGCTTACTGCATGCTCAAACTCCACCAGCACTTTAGAATTGTGTGGTTCATGGTACAACAGTAAACATGACTATAATGCACCGAATTAAATTCCTCATTCCCATATCGGTGCTTCTCATGACAACTTCAATTTGTTCGTAACGTAATGGACTAGGCATCATCCAATAAGTTTATCCTCCACTTTTATCCCAGAGTGCAAGACACCTCCAGGAAGCATAATCCATTTGCAAAACAAGCATGCAGGCTGCTTACCAGCGGTTCCAGTGTCTCGAGTCCTTTGATCTTGTTTCCACTCAAGTTTAAATGTGTCAGCTTGGGACTTCCATGCAGGAGGTTGAGACCGCCGGAAATTCGGTTGTCACTAAGCTCCAACTGGGGGACGAGAATAACCGCACGGTTAGAACCCTTCGCGCGGCTGGGAACTTTCGGCACTCACCTTCTTCAGGTTGGGCAGCTTGGGAAATCCTTTGAGACTCGTCAAACCCACATTTATAAGGCTGAGTGATTCCAAGTTGACGAACTCTTCTGTGAGGCCTACGATGGCGGTACTTCTGCAGTTGTCGAGGTTTAGCTCGTGTATCTGGGAAGCACAAGGGAGAAGAAAAAAAAGGGGGGAGGAGGGAGAACATACGTGAGCCACAAGCGGCGATGGAAAGTGCTGGGCAGCGGCGGCGGCGCCGCCAGGGGTTTGAAGCAGCGGCGGAAGTGAGCCAGCCTCGCGCGGTCGCGGAGCTGCGATACGAGGCAACTTGCGCGGCACCGCCGCCGGCAAGATGGGACGATGCTCTCCCCAGCCGCCCCTCGTAAGCGAAACACACGCACGCCTCTCGACCCGACTACGTTTCGTACTGCTAACGCAAGCGCGCCATTTCTTCGGCACCGGACACAAAGGGGATCCATATTGGAATAGCAAGCTAGCCAAAATGAGAAGAAAAAAAAAACATACAAAAAAACGCACACAAGAAAAAAACCAAACGCTACGATTTCGAGGCGCGAAGGTAGTCGTTAAAAAGCGGCCACATTAACCCGGGCTCCCTTTATTTTCTTTTACGGACGCAAGTTTTTCGGCGGAAAGCGGCGGTATTCTTAATGAACTCGAAGACGGCGGCGGCAGCTATTATTATTGTTCGCCGCCACTCGACTGCGCTGCCAATCCAGCCGGGAGCCAACATGGCGGTCGATTCGCGAGCGACCAAGGCCAGTCATGGCTCTCGGCTGACACTTACCGCACGCGGCATCGGACGCACTCCATGCAACCTAGTCCGCCACCCGAAACGAAGAAACGCTACCGTCGGCCGAGAAAATACCCTTCGCTCGGAGTTGCCAACGCCGGGACACCCGAAGCAACGGACCCATCGCCGGTAATGGCGGCTACCGGTGTCTCACAACGTGGTCTTGTACGCTCCAAACGCGACACGGGTCATCATTCTCCACGGCATTTGCAAACCCACACGCGCTGTCGGATCAATAAAATCGAACCAACGTGCAAGATCTCCGACGAAAACACCGAGAGAGGCTAAGCGCTCAAATTCCCCTCCTTCTAATAGCGCCATGTTGACATTCAAGAGCCGAATCGTCCACGTTATCCACACGCCACAAGTTTTCCAGCCGCAATAGCTATAAAATAGTGCGTGCGACAATTATAGCAGAGACCGAACGGGGACGCACCCATGTGGGAGGAAATACACAGAACGCTAAGGGCAACCATCCGCGAAACGTTTTAGGCGGCAAGTCGGTGCTTGCCCAAAGAATTCGCAATTTAACGTCAATTTTGCGTCGCAAAAATCGTTTGCATAAGTCGCTGATGTCAGCTGCTGACAAGATGATGACCAGGGGACTGACGGCGAGCGGCGACAACAGAGACCGCCTGTGCCTCGAGAGGTCCGAATTATCTGCGCTCCCGGCGATGCACAATTTGTAGAAGGCGCACGAAAAACCAGATTTCGCACAAAAATGCGTTACGCCTAAGCTGAGTTGCGTTTCACGATCAACGGGGTAAAGGCTTTTACCTGTTCGGGGTTTTTCCCCCGCTTTTCCAGTTCGATCCTCTTCTCCATTTGAACGACAGCAGCAGAGGCGAATGGCACACAGCCGACCGGCGACAGAATACTGGGAGCTCTGAAAAAGCGGGCGCCAAACAGCGCGGCAACCTCAATATGGGGTCTCCTTCAAAAGTACGTGTACGCCGTAGCAAACTCATTACTATTCATGAGGTCACGTTCAAACCGTCCAATCACAGTCAATGCTTCGCCGAGGAAGGACAACGTCACGTGCACAAGCGCCTTTCTTATTGGTCGAGCCAAAAAATAGCATCTTCAATGTTGTAAACCACCACACCTCGATTATTTCACGCAGTAGTCCCTAGGTTAGCCCAAATGCGGATATTAATTGCTCATTGTCTACTTCAACAGCTCGTCCAAACGCGAGCGCAAGTTGATGCAAGGGTGCAAGCGCGGACCATGGCTTCCAAATTGTCGAGGCGCTTTGATTCGACGCAGTAATGACTCATGTCAAGCAGGTGGGGGCATGCGCGGCCCCTTAAAAACAACGCCGGTTCTTTTAAATAAAAAGGGCTACTCCCGTGTTCGTCAAAAGGATATAAATGAGAGAAATTCGAATTTTGCGGACTGGAACTTTCGGCTTTTGTTGCTAGGAGACAACACCTGGGGACCACGGCAGCACAGCAGTTACTCAAGAGCGTTGATCACGTGCCACTGGCTACGCCATTTGCAATCGCTGCGAAGTGCCAAGAAATGGGCGCATTTATTGCGCGAATAATCGTGAAAAACGCTTACCCGTGCCTCTCGCATGCTCGCTAGTTGGTATCAGAGCTTGCTTTATACCGAGAACGGTCGCATTAAAGGTCCGAAACTCCGCCATCGCCGCTGTTTGTTGTTTGTTACTACGAGACTTGCTTCGCTCGCCGTTCGCAACTAATTTTCGTCTTCGTTTCATGGCATCACGGCGCATTTCGAGCACACTTCACTGCTTTACTGTCAAGCTCTGCGTGAAGTTGGTGCCGGCCAGAGCCGCCGCTGATGTTGTGGCGCGCCCCCGTCGCCTCTGCTACGATCCATCCCTGCTTCCTGCTGTCGCAAAACAGGCACCGCATATTTACGGATCGACGGGCGCCCACAGGCGCACGAAGGGAGCGACCGCACAAGGCAGTAACTGCTGCCGATCGTGCTTTGCATGGCGGTCCCAACCTAACGAACTTCGCCCTTGCTAACCGCTACCATCTGGTCAAAAATGCCCGAGGACACCCAAATACGGCATACGAGTTGATTTTTCAAAGAACGAGCTATTTGCTCGGAAGTTTAGCTTGGAACTATTTTCTTGCGCGCGGTCATTCGGGTCGTCGCCGCCGTCGCCGCTCTGGCAGCTCTGGCTGCTCCGCAGATTGGGTGTTGGTGCCACATTTGTGTTCCTGTCGCCCCGTCGCTCTCCTTCGGAAGTTTTGATGACGCCGTACCAGCCGTACGCCGTGATTAGCGCCGGGACGATTTTGATCGCCTCAACCGCTGGCCTCAATTTTCGATATTTCCGAGCTGCGGAGGTGGAGATCGGCGCACTCGAGACAAGTGTTGTGAAGCTTGCTCGCGGTGCGCTCTCCTAGAAATGAGGGGAAGGTGGCACCAGTCGCACCAGGAACTGCAAACGTTCTCAAATTGATCGTTTTGTTTTTTGCATTACGCACTTGTATTTTGCGTCTGTGAACCGCACGGCAGGTTGAAAGCATCCTTTATGGCTTTAACCGGCAGCGCAAGCTTCCGGTACAATCATTTACGGGACCCGTTCGCTTTGTGCACAGGCGCGTCGGTTATCAAATAAAAAAAAAAATGGTATAACTAAGGGCAATACTTTAATCCTCTAAGCAAATTTTGCGTAAAAAAAATGCAGATTGTAGAAGTTTTATTTTTAGGCTTGGGAGATTACTCCAAAAATGCACTCGAGATGCAGTTAGTTGGCTGTGCTATAAATAAATAATTACTTCAAATGGTTTATTTATTTTTTCTTTAGATATTTTTAAAAGAACATTTCAATTGGCGAGAATTTCAAGGCTTGCGGCGTCACGCATGCGTGGGGCGGTTGGATAGATCGATCTACCACATCTCACAACCCTAGTTACTCCAGTTCTACAGACTGCACCTGAAGATATATATAGCATAATTCTAGAGATAATCATTAATGTGATAGCATTATTAAGTGATTAATCACAGATTTCTACCTGGTATCTAGCCTCCTGATGCAGCAGGCCATTTTAGCTCGCTGTACTTGCACCCCATAGCGCTGCGCATGTGCGGGCAGTACGCATTCCTTCACATTTGCACACTCTTCTAAGGACCCGACGACCTCAACGTTGTTCATGAGGGCGTTCTAGACGTCGTCTCCTAGAGGTGGTCCTGGAGGTTGTCTTTGAGTTCACCCTAGAGGTTGTCCTACACGCAGTCCTCTAGGACGTCTGCCTTGAGGTTGCCCTAGAGGTTGTTCTAGATGTCGTCTTCGACGTCAAGATGTCGTCTTGACGTCCTAGACAACGTCTTCAAGGACTATGTCAAAGACGACATTTAGAACGACCCCAAGGACATCAATAGTGATCTCAAGGACGACAAGGATTTAGCGGCAAGTTTCCCCATTAGAGTTAGCGGAAAAATTGACGTTTAAACTATGCACCAATTTAGTTTCCCCGCTAAATGTGGCTGTGTACAATGGTGGTATTTACAAATTTGCCTCGAACACCAGTAGACCGATCTCACTAGCCAGTTTACTACGCCACCTCTGCTGCAATGCATTGAGGGTACTTTAGCCTTTTTTCAAATGCAACAACCTTACTGGAGCTCTGTGCGGGGAGAGCACGAGACTGCACGAGCCCTCACATGCAGTCATCTGCATTCTGTGAACTAAAGCTATAGCGGTATCACGCATGCGCTGAACGCTTAGCAAGATCGGTTCATGTGCTGCCCTGTAATTTTTATCACCAAAAATAAAGTTACACAGGTTCATATCTTACATACACTGAAGGTATAGTGCTCACCAAACTTAAAAGGAGCACGCAAACTGTACCTTTTCTCGTGGGAGCGCTATCCTGACGACAGTCATAATGGTTTTGCGACGTTTAACAAACCATTCCGAAGTGCCAAGTCAAAATGCCGTTGTTTAGCTTCATCCAGGATAGTGTTCTGTTTAAGTTTGGGGAGCACTGCACACACTATACTTATTTTCACCTCAAGAACCGTAGTGGTATCTGTGGGCATTTAAAAATTAGTTGTATCCAAACATACAAAGTTCAAATGCAAATAGTGTTCAGATTTTCCGACAGCCAAATCTGGCAAGAACCACTTCGTGCAGCACATGAACAGTGTGCAGAACTTCCTTTTCATTCTCGAGGTGACGAGTGTAGTTGGCAGTTTGAAGACTTGCACCTAAAAACTTTACAACCTTGCAGAACTCCCAACCCAGCTCTGCACCACCTCAAATCCAGGCTCATTCCAGAGATCATATTTGGGTACTTTTCATCAAATTTACAGAAAAACACAAAAAAAAAAAAAAAAAAAAACTTTGATACAAAAATAGTTAGCAATGTTGTATTGATTGTTTATTAAACAGAATTTAATCTGGATTCTCAAAAACAATTTTATTTCCGAAGCACTCATATATAAATAGAAACCCTGGAAGCCCCAGTAAATATGCCAAAGCCACAAAACTGCCACTGCAGCTGCATTTAAAAATTGATCCTCATTTTTAATTTTGGAATGAAAAGCAACCCCCCCCCCCCCTCCCCCAAATCCACAAGGGGCCTTTTGCAGTGGACTACAAAATGGTGGGCCCATGCTCCTCTGGCAACACCGGGGTCTTTTTTTAGCTCAGCCGTTCATCACCATCTTCACAAAGTCTGCAAGGAAAGAAAAAAACGCGGTTCCGTCAAGATGCCCAGGTATTCAAACCGGCGTCAAACCAAAAACCGGATCAAAACTATTATATTTTTTACCACACCAAACACAAAATTGTAACCGAAATCGTAACATTTCATATCGACCCGAACCAAACCACAATCTTGTGTGGTGGTTATCTGTCTATTGGAAAACAGTTTGGCATATTGAAATGCGAGCTGAACCCACTTTTCCAAGTGATGGTGCGAGGTTAATTTGAACATGGCGATGTTGGGGTCAGTGGTGCAGTGTTGCCTAAATAAATGTCAGCCATGCAGAGACGACTCAATAATAATGAAACAAATCAATTCCCTGTCTATGGCCAGCATGACTTGGCACTGGTGAATCAATGCAGAGGTGTACGCTGCTAGCTGGCTATGCCAAGAAAAAAAGCTATTCTGTTTTGATGCTGCCAAACCATAATCCTTCAAGGAAAAAAGCACACATGAAGATCAAAATTTAAAAAATCGATGGGCCGTCAGCGTGTGTGTTCTGTGGTGGCAAAAACTGAAGGTGCCACTGAGAAGGCAGAGAGGCAAAACAAAGCCATGAGAAGCATGACACAAGGGCACAGATTTCCAGAAACTCAAAATGCTACATAAAAAATTTTTATGTGGCATGTTTTCTTTTTTTTTTTCCCTTTTTTTTTTTTTTTTTTTGTTGCTTTAAATTGTCTGCTGGCTGCCCTCCATCCTCTTTTTCTTCAACTCAGTCATTCAAGATAGGTAGTTTGCAAGTATTGTGCAAGCCAGCCGATTGACCTTGCATGTGAATACTGTACTTCGGTAGTTTCCAGGTGCCTGGGCGACCATGCAATTTGAACAGAGTGGTGTTTCTGATAAAAAGTGAAGATAAAAAAGGAGACTAAGCAAACATATGTCCTGCTGTCTACATTTTCACAGCACAGCTTTTGACAAGATTTTTGTTGTCTATTTTAATGTAGATTACACAGAGTAACTCTTTTTTTTTTTTTTCTTCTTAATGCTTGGATCTATGAATCCTGTTTTGTTAAGCACAGGAAATGCGTTAGCGGCCATGGTCTAAGGTAGAGTATGAAGCAGTTCTAACCAGTTCAGACTTGGTGTAACAGTTAACAGAATCAATATTTTGTATAGACATTTCCCACGGGGGCGCCGCCATCTTGAATTGTCGTCACTTCCAGTATGGGCGGCGACAAAATAATAAAACATTTCAACCTGTAACTAGCAAAAAAATAGAGGGGAGCCAAAACGAGAATGTGTGACGGTTAGGCTTATATCATAAATGTCTTCTTTTGGCGTGGCGACGGCAAAACAATGTTTTCGCCCATACTGGAAGTGACGACAATTCAAGATGGCGGCACCCTTGTGGAAAAGGTCTATATACGACTGAAATGCAACCAAACCAAAATAGAATACAAAGCTACTGAACTCAAATCCAAACAAGAATAATGAACAGTAAGATACCCTGAATAACATGCAGCCAACATTATGCTTGCACCATCTCAACAAATGCTTCAATAAATATTGACTGTTGTAGGATCAAGCCCCTGCTCCTAGAAAGGTCCTTGCAAAATAAATTTTTGAAAGTAGTATAAAAATATTTCATCTCAGAATGCACAATAGTGGTGGCAACAATACTGCTTCAGGGTTGGAACACAGAATTTTAATCAAGAAATTTTAGCGACCCTGCTAACACATTACAAAGACCAGACATCAGGGGCCTTGAAGTTCCTGGGAAAAAGGATGAGATGCTTCAGAAACGAGATGCGCATAAGATGCCACGACAAATTACAGCAATATTTATGTTCCATGATATGAAGCTTTATGTAGAAGCAAAGTTTCACAAGCAATGCACACCAAACAAGCAATATGTGTCTTACCTTCATAGTGGACATTCCCTTGGGAGTCTTCTTGTCCAGCCAACAGCTGCTCCACTTCATCGTCTGTCAGTTTCTCACCTGAATCCAGAAGGAGTAAGGGAAGTCAGGCATAAAAGTACTTCCAAGCAAGAAGTGTCAGGGCATAGACACAGTCCACGTGTATGACCAATGCTCTCAAAATGGGAGTGCATGTCACAGGGAACGTGCAGAGTGCGATACAGTAAGCCCCGACACGTTGCCGTAAGCTTTTAATAATTTATTCTCTCAAGGTGAATGGCTGACATAAAAACACCAGTGTACTGGAAGCAACAAGTGCATCAGCCAGCGGCATAGTAGACAGAGGAGAGGCTTCAAGGCCCCCCTCTTCAGACCCAGCTCCAAAGCCAACCCCCATTCCCCATCATAGACATCCCAACTGGGGATGTCTACGATTGTTCAAGGTGAGGCCATGAAAAGGTACACACTGGGTAAGGTCAGAGCCGTATCTGGGGAGAGTTTGGTCAGTCTATGATCTCGCCGCCGGAACGCTCTCCTCCCAAGTGAGCCAATCAGCACGCGGCGTAGAGCGAGAGGCATGAGCACATGCGCGTGAACTCCCGGCTGCTCCCACCTGACTAGGGAGGGCCGCCATCTTCGATCATTCTCCCGGCGAAATGCGTGGGATCGGCATCTAAATCTCGATTATTGCCTTCTATATCGCTGGCTCTGGCAAGAAAACGACAATCTGTTATTCCTCGGTGGGTTTTAAAAAGCTAATAAATGAAGATTTTTCGGCGTATGGCCACAAACTTTTATTCAGGCGAAAAAGAAGTCGGCCCGTAGCAGACGACGCGTAGCCTCAGCTGTGCTCTTCTCCGACCAGTCTCCGACAGCGTTGCTAAAAAATGGCGGTAGTCTCCTCTCTGCTCCCTTCTTTGTCTCTCGCTCCTTTGGCGCTCTCCTCCCTTTCATTTACTTTTCTCCTCTCCGGTGCCTTCGTCGCCACGCCTACTGGCCAATCTCTCCCGGCTCTGGGTAAAGTTAGCAAAAATCAATTATACAAGCTTTCCCTTTACGGGCCAACAAATTCTCGCCATGGGCCTGTTTTCTTGATACCTTCTATAATCTGTACGATGCAGAAATGATGCCAATGCATTTACAATGAAGTAATCTCCCATGATTAATTCACAATGAGCCAGTTGAAACCAAGATTGGTAAGGCCAGTGCCATGAGATATGGTAGCAGCTAAAATAATTCAGTATTGAACTTTACTTTGCAGAATATGCCATAGGATATGCACCATTGTAATTTTTATTCTTTTTTTATTTTCATTTTGCAATGAGAACAAAAAAGGGCTTTCAAAAAGAATTTTATCAGCCATGTTAAATATGACCATTTATATACAAAAATAAGGGTCGGCCCTGTGCCATTAAGCGCCCTGGCCAAACTCCAGTTAGAATTATTAAGAGTCTATTGAATATGTAGAGTCTATTGAATAGCAAGATGGACAAAAATTTAGCAGCGCTGATTTCCTCAACTGACTGAATAGAACAAGTGGCAGCAAATTAAAATATGGAACCAGTGCCTGAGTGGGAATTGTGCTGTGGATATTGTTGGATTTCAGATGTTCCACCAATACACGGAATGCACCCAAGATAATGCCAGATATCAACGTGAGCATTCGGTTCAAATTTATGTTCGAATTTATGAACTGTGCTTAGCTGTAGTGTTTACATGTAACAAGTGAATATGTACAAGCCTTGGGGTATTCTTTATTTGCGCAACATTGAAGGAGTCACGCATCTGTTCTAGTCGTACATCAGCCACTTATATTTTTTTAAGACTACACGCAGCCAATGAAGTTTCCAGTTGGAAACTCAAATAACCTCACATCATCCCACACAAGATACACTATGATAAAGATCTGAATAGAAATCATTGCATGGTCACCTTGATGTAAGGGTGTGGATGATTTTGAATGTACTGCTTCAAAAAAGCAGCAGAGTTTACAAAATCACCGCTGTTTCATGCTAAGATGCAGAAGACATGTGACCATTCGTCTCAGCATATGATCGGCGACAAGTGAAAAATTGAGCAACTCGTTCGCCTCACAAGGTTCATATCCCTCTACTAGCTAAACGCTTCCACTTGCTTTCAACACATGCCATTAGCTTCAGGAACAGATTCTTTTTAACATGGCAGAGTGTGCCTAGCAAACACGGCTGTTTGCACAAGTTGTTATTTACAAACATCTTTACCTAGCAGGTTTGCATCGCAAAGTCGTAACAAAACCAAACTTTTTTTTTTTTTTTTTTTTTCAGCAGTCTGTACAATGACGCTATGCAGCGTAATTGAAGTGTTCAATGCCCATGGTAGCTCAAGCAATTAAGTTCAGGCATTTTGAAGACACTTCGTCTGACATAGCCTGCTTCCCTTTGTTCATTTTCTGCTAGCCCTAAGTTATGCTGTGAAATTGTAGTGGCATCAGCTTCGGGGCAGTTTCTGAGGGACAAAGTGAAAATGCTGCAGTCACCACCATCGAAGGGGTACGCTGCGCAAGATGCGCACAAGTGGTACCTCCACCACCAAATTGGGTCATCAGACTTTGTGTGCTTCTCATAAAATTAATAAATAAAGGCTGCCTTAAAAATAATATATCTAAACAGTATTTATTAATCTGTAAAATGTTGCACCCTTGCAATTTTTCATTGTTGCAACCGCACGCACAGTAAACTAGGCAAGAAGTGACTGCCTCGTCCTATTGTGCATAGGTGACGGTAAATTAAAGGGGAGGTGCGACGATTTCCGGACTTCGGTCAAACATTTGTGGAAGTTGCCCTCTGACACTTCTAAAGTAAAAAACCAAAACCAATTTTGCCCGAGTCTCGTAGTTGTTGCGTCAAAAAAAAAAGATGAATATTGGCATTTCCGGCACCCCTCAACTCACTTCCAGTCTTTAGGGTCACACCTGGTTTCCCTCCTAGTGACGTAATTTGGGGTGCCGTGTAGGTTCCCGTGTGCTCTCTTGGAGGACGCTTCCTCTCCCTCTCTCTCTGCTGGCATTAGCAGGCGTTATGCTGCAGCACCGAGCGAGGTCATGTAAGCTTTTCGCCGTAGTTCCTTCGGCTGCCACTCGCAGCTGCAGGTGGGGGAAAAAGCTAGACTTTTGCTTTGCGATTATGTGGCGGAATAGCGACATTTTTTAATGAACATGTTTTCTGTATCCTCTGGGGCACAATAAACAACGTAAAAATGATGAGATGCAAATTCTTTTAATCTGGAAATCGTTGCACCCCCCCTTTAAAGGGATACTTCAACGAAATTTGAAATATTCCCGTCGTGTTCAAAAATAGGTTGAATATGATCCACAATATCCGTAAATGACAATCGCACGTTTGTATTTTGATCCTGGTGGCTGTATTTTTCGTTATAAACGGCCCACTCTGGCAAGCGCTCGGAGAAGGCCCAGCTTAAAGCACGTGACATCCAACGCAATCGTGACATAGGTCGTCTCAAGACGAGCAAAGCTACGGCGAGGCTGACGTCGAGAGGATGGCCTATTCGTTCCAGCCACCGAAGCGGCTGCTTTTGTACGAATTTTGAGTGACGGGTTAATCTTTTATAATCTTCTAGGGGGACAATAGCGACTTCTGCGACACACAAAAGGGATTCTCGGGAAGAGGGGAGTTCCTCCTTCCCCCGTTCTCTCGTCGTGGCCGGAGACGAGACAACCTCCGTCACTAGCTGTCAAGGTTCCTAGACGAGCATTACAAACGAGGCGTTAGCGACATCCACCAGGTGCTCTTTGCTAATCATTTAATTCGTTTTAAAATTCCTTTTCGAGACTTTTTTAACAAGATATTGGTATGTTTCATGTGATACTGCTCTTTTGAACACATATAGACCAAAAAATGAGCGCCGAAATTTCGTTGTAGTATCCCTTTAAGTCTTTATTGTGCCACGCCATCACCTACACCTCGTCGAAGTAGAGAATGTGCATTTGTCGTGCAGGCGACTTTGCTACCAAGCGACAATGTTGTCCAGCTCGGACAGCAGCAAGCTTTGCTCTCTCTTTTCCGCATGGTGCCGATGTCGCAGTGCAGACAATGCACTATATTCGCAACAGCGAAGGGACTTGAAACAGGGACATAAAAATTGTGGGCGGAGCTTCTCCCGAATAATCGACTTGTCACTAACTATACAGTGCAATACACTTATAACGATGTTCTGCTTATAACAATCAGTTTCTAGGGTTTCTGGTCCAGATACAATAATAATCGGTTATAACGATTAAACTTTCGGGTTGTCTCATTATCGTTTTAAGTGGATTGCACTGTAGTTCAGGACATTTCAATGAGTTTGTTTGTTAAGGGAATAATATCTAGGGTTCCGGGTTTTCGGAGAAGCCGAAAAGTACTTGTCGGTAAAATTTTTGTAAACTCAAATTTATTCAAAAAAGAAAACAAAAAAACAGACGGTCAGGGCCTGTCTCGATTTAAATCTCGGACTATTGACTAAAGCGGGTTTACAGTATATTTCGTCAAGTTTCATTCAGGACGACAGGTCACTGCACTAGTAGGTTATGGCAAAAGCTACTGTTCCAGTTTCCAGCTAGCACTAGTATATAAACACTACCTGAACTCTGTTACGTCACGGCGTGGTGGTGGCAACCCGTCGAGCACACTTCCCATCTGGGGCTGTGGGTGAAAGTGCCTATGCAAGACATACATTCCTGCATTGTTTTGAAAGAAACCAGAAAAAAACCTGCCTTTTCGCCAAAACGCCGCAACTGGGGCTGTGCCAAAAAAGTTGAGAAAGGTTTGAAGGTCAGTTTCTAAGTGCCCGGTTAATCCGAAAACGTGGATATGTCCCGTGGAAAGGGAAAACCAGATGCCATCGGACCACAGTTGCTTGGGCGGGAAGCATTTTGGGCTGAATTCACGGATACTTCTATCATCAGATTTATTTGTTTTGTTCCAACAGGAGCGCGGGAAAACCGTCAAGTTGTACAGGCCACCTGCAGACTACGTTCAGCTTGTCTTCAAGTTCAAACAATTGCCTAATCATTTGAACTGTCGTCTGCTCTTTCAAACGTTTCTTCTTGTCGTCTGCTCTTGCAGACGACACCGGCCCATAGACCAAACATTGGCTTGGTAATTGCGATAAGAAGTACATGCAGGCTTCAAAAGACTTAAGTTTGAAGGTTGATTGGGGTAAGCAGGCTCAATGTAAGCAGTAGATACAAGGGGATGTTGACCATTGTTACCAGTGGCCATCACCAACATGTTATGCTTGATTCACTTGATCCGATTCTGCTTGCAATTTTCAGTATTGACATCGACCATCTCGGCTACAACTGAAAGTTGCGAGCAAAATCTCATCGAGCGAATCAAGCTTTAGCATCCATTCTGCGGCGTCCACGCAGAATGAGTCGCCACATGTCACATTATTCACACAAAGTTTTGCGCTGTAACATGGCTCGGTAATTTCGCTGAGGCCGCTCTAGTAGTCGGACATTGCCAGGAAGACATAGAATCAATAATTCCAAAGCGGAGAAGAGCACGGGGACTCACACTTACGCCGAACACATCGCATTTCAATGGTTTGTTTATGGGTGACTGCGAGCTTCTTGCCAAACTCCACCACGCACGACTAGGGGCACTCCGGTTTGTATGTAAACATGAGTTGGTCTATACTATTCGTGCTCCTCAGAAAAGGATTTCTCCGTGCATTTATTACGGAGAAAAAGATGAGCCTGTAAATTTCATAAGGGGAAACAGGGCAGGGGAGCTTTTACACTTTCCAGCAACTATGTCCAGGTGCTTAGTGGTTGTGAAGTGTTGACATTTATCCAAGCAACATTTGTTTGCAAGTTTTGTTGTGGGACAGTTAGCATTTCCAACGGCAAGGGTGCCATTCCCAAATGGAGCTAAAAAGTATAAATCAATACAGGTGAATTTAGAACATTTTGTGTTCGAAAATTATTTATATTTCTTGGGAAGGAACAGCAGCAAAAAACTTGGACAAGGGTAAAGAAACACACATGACAAAACGGCACTACCGTAGAATACCGTGCATCCGCCCATACCACACTAAGCGCCCATACCCGAATTTGTAAGATCTGAGAATATATGCACAGTACATTGATATGCAAAATTGATGACCGGACAAGCGCACATCCCCCATTTTTTCGCGATTATCTCTAAATTTTGAGTGGGCGCTTGCCCGGTATTTTACGGTAAACTAACAACTGTTGTTTCATACAAAACTATTAAGGGCATTACGTAGCCACTGATATGGCCTACCTTGACATAATATGCTGCTTGGTTGGTGCATGTGTGGTGTCTATATTTTTCTTATAAGATGCTTCTCGTTTCCTTCCTTCCATTTTTTGTGTATTAAACAACAATTGTTAGTTCACCGCCTTCCTGTTCTGTGGCTTTCTTTACCCTTGTCCAAGTTTTTTGCCGCAGTTCCTTCCCAAGATGTCCACTTCAAACCAACCAGCCCAACACGTCACATTGTTATTTATATTTTAATTGGGGAAAATTTTAGAACACAGCGAAATTAAACTCAAAATTTCGAAGAATTGGGAATATCGCAAAAATAAAAAAGCATTTCATGCTTTAAAAACACGCGGATTACAAGTGGGGTAGCTGATAAACGGCCCGCGTGAGCTTCCCGACAGAATCCAAAAAGGGAAAATACGGGTATTTACAACTGAACTTGAATGATATTTTAACTGTTAGCGAAGTATTGTTTCTTTGGAAGGGCAAAATGGGTATCCCAAAATAAAGAGAGACGGACTGCCAACCCAACAAAGCATCCTCTCAATGAGCTCACTTCTCCCAAAGCCTAAGCATCCAACTCCCCGTCCTCACCCAGGGTGGTGAGCAGGTGCCTGAGCTCGGCTGAGCTGATGTAGCCGTTGCCGTCCTTGTCGAAGTGGCGCAGGCCCTCAATGAAGTCCTCGGCCGTGTCCGTGCTTCGGTTCTTGCTGATGGTCTGCAGGATCGGCAGGAAAACGTCGAAGCTGATCCGCTCATCTACAAGCCGGAAAGGAGTGTAGGTGGTGCTTAAAACACAGAGGAATGCCAGAAGTTGGCTAAGTGCCATCTGTCAAGTGTTCTCGTGTACTGCTCACACTAATGACATGCATCTTCATAATGCCTTACTTGATGGGTGCTTAGAGAGCGTAAGGATGGAGCCCTCAAGCATCCACGCCCTGGAGCAAATGCTGGCACAAACAGCAAGCAGGCTGAAGAGCTTAGTCTCTGGCCAACATTATTGCGAAAAATGCAGGGTACGTTGATGGTCATGCGCGCGGTTAGTACGTGAGCAGCTAGTGCCCGCGTTTATTTTATACAACAAACGTCTTTTCTTTTCTTTTTTTTCATTAAACGTCACTTTGTAAACAGACGGTTCAAGGGTGCAGAGAGAAGCGCATTACCGGGTCTCAGTTGGTGGCAGCACTTCTTGACCTCGGCCTCTGTGGGATTCTGACCCAGGGCGCGCAGCACGTCGCCCAGCTGGGAGATGTTGATCTTGCCATCTCCTCGGTTGTCGAACAGGGAGAACGCCTCTTGGTAGTCTGCGGCCCGAGAGAGAACGTTAAACGAGCGACGGGCCACTCCCAAGACCACGTTTTCCCCGAACCCCTACTGCCTTGAGAAATTAGTCCCCCGATAGTTAACTTCCTAATCAGTAATAAATCGTTTTCTAGCAGCGCGAAAAATTAAAGCTGCAAGAAGAGGGCTTGATAAATGACAGCGGACGTGGTACCAAGTTCCGGGAAATTGAAGTGGCCTCTTCGAACGAACACCATGTTGCGAGTTTCAGTTACGAGCGACTGGCACCAACACGGACAGACTGACGGAGAACGGCGCGTTTAACCTTAGCTGCCGTCGGTGTTTTGTCTCTAAATCAGTAGGAAACCGCGACGCCCTAGACAGAACGGGATGCGGTATACCGCCGAGAATGCGTCAGGGTGTGTCATCGACTAAACGTTGGTTGACGCAGGAGCGCTATCAGCCAAGCCATCTTCCTTGCTCGAGACTCACCGCTTATTTGGTCGTCTGTGTATCCAGCCTGAAAACGACATCGAAGCAGAGATTTGAATTCACAGCTTAAATTCCTGATGGAGCGAGCTTACCATAGCGAAGAATCAGCGACGACCAACTCAACCACTCAACTTCTAAACTTCTAAAATGGCGATTCCCACAATCTCATGCAGAGAAACGTCACATCCTGCCCGGAAGCTGACACGTACTTTGCGACTGCGCAGACCACTGAACCGCCGCGTCGTCTGCTACTTTGCTTCCCGCCTGCTTTGTGGAATGCCATCTCGCAAGTTATGCGCAGCCAACGTTACTTGCAGCGCTATCAAGGGTGCGGCCGCCGAGGCGCCGAGGCGGCAAGAGCGTAGGCTTGGAAATTCTTTCTGTTAACCAAGAGCTCGCGCAAAGAAACGCGCTCGTATCTGTGGCAACTCTGCGCATCAGATTATAATGCTATTAAAATGCAAAGGTGCAAGCGAGCTGGACAAGAATGATGAAAATAATCCCTGGAGAAGGGGAACAGGAGGGACAAAGGACAAACACAAATCTCCAAACACAGCTAGGTGACTGGTGCGCGACCGAAAATCCGCCTGATCCGGGTATCGAACCCGGGACCTCTCCATTACAGGTGGAGCGCTCTACCAACTGAGCTAACCAGGGGTTAGACGTCAATAGAGCAAACGCGGGTTTTATCAGCCGACACCAGTCTAACACCAACAAGGGTGAAGCTTGCAATTTACGGTTAAGATTATAATGCAATTGAAATGCAAAGGTGCAAGCGAGCTGCATGGACAAGAATGATGAAAATAATCCCTGGAGAAGGAGAACAGGAGGGACAAAGGACAAACACAAATCTCCAAACACAGCTAGGTGACTGAGGCGCGACCGAAAAAAATCCGCCTGGTCCGGGTCCGCGCAGTCCGCGCATCTCTTCGCCTTTTGGAGCACCTTTTGAAGCAGTCAAAAGTTAACTTTGGAGCACAAGCATACTCTTCATTCCAGTGCGAATACACTGCTAAGATTCATGTGTTGGCCTATGCGGGGCGCAAGTTCATCTGCTTCTTCTTCTACTTCTAAGCGTTGTGAAAGATGGTGGGGGGGGGGGGGGGGGGGGGGGGCGGGGACGTCAGAACGCTTTCTGATAGGCTCTGATTGAAAAGGGGTCCATATCACAAGAGCGAAGGACATTTTAGCGAACGGCGACATTTGAGCGAATGGTCGTTTTAGCGAATAACGGGGGGCGCGCGTTAACCCATCCGTCGCGCTGCGCTTTACGCCGCTTCGCGGCGACAGTCTGCGGCAACTCATTACAAAAATATGAACTCATTTGGCCCACCCGAAAACGCCGCTTCGCGGCGTCCGACTATTCGCTAAAGTGTCGTTCAATGAAACGTGAGCGTTCGCTAAAACGTCATTCGATCAAGTGAGTGCCTCCCCAACCCCTGCGCAGGAAGCAAACTTGCTCTTTACATCCAACCGAAATGCTGTGCTCCTTTTTCCCACCTCTGAACGACGTACGTCTTAGCATTCGTTGCAAAGCACAATTAAATTGCAACGGTAATTTAATTCTCCACGCCAAGAACAATTTTCTGCAAATATTTATGATAGTGAAAAGTCAGCATGTGGACGATTAATATGTCTTTAAAATACAACCGATTGGACCTATTCCCTAACTTCATTCCACTGCTGGTTGATATTTAGTTGAAACTAAATCGAATGGCAGTTGAACGAGCATGCTTGCGCTCAGTTTAAACGCCAGTCAGCCAGTTAAATAGCCAAGGTGTTAACATAAAAATTAAACATATGGCACAGCCCCTACACCAAATCCACGTGATTCATAACGCCCTCTCCTATGCCCAAGTTTTCTTTTTTCCTTTTTTCTTTATTGGACACAATGTGCAGCATACAAATGCCATGTCAATATTCATACAAACCGCCCAAACGCTCATGGGCTATCTCCTATGCCCAAGTTCAAAGTAAAAAAAGCACGACCGATAACCACGACCTGCACGCAACTTACTGTCGCAGAGTTTCGTATAAACTAACGGTAGTTTTATTTTGCATATTTTACTGCCACATAGTATATATTTCGACAAATAGCATTCACCACGTTTCTTTTTTTGTTACTTGTTTTTTAAATGCCCGACGCGCAGGCACCATTCCAACCTGGAGGAGTGCTTTCCCCTTATGTGCTGTGGCAAAGCGACGTTTTTAGGCTAGGTGGCTCAAGCTACCGCCCGTTATAAAGGGCGGTCATTAGCACTTCGCAGATGTAGCTTCTCTGGATTGCACCAATGTGCGGTGAAAAGCGCACTCAACGGAGCCTAAAAAAAAAAAAAAAATTGGTTTGTGTGTATGTTTATACAGCCTAGAACTTGGTCTGCCTCACAGGGGCGACGAGTCTCCCAGTTGTAGATGAGCAATTTAGCCAGTGCAGTACAACCGCTAGCCTGGGGTCTTTAACGTGCACCACGCAGCAGTGATACACGACCGCATGCCGGTACGATACTCATCCAGATCGAAACGGGCAGGGGTGGGGCTCGAACCCAGGATCCCTGGGTTCTGCAGCGCTCCACGTGCTCCGAGCTGGTGTGCGCTAACCCACTCGGCCACCGATCCCTCCAATCAACGGAGCCTATTAAACCGCCAGACAGTGAGAAATATCACGAAACTACGGATACCAATCACATTTTATACGAAACAGAAATCACACATTATTCTAAGCAACAACGCAGAAAGTAAGGAAAAAACGCGCAAGCTTACCATAAATTGCAGGCAGTGAAGCGGTAAATGGAATGAGCTTGTGGTGCAATGTTTGCGCAAATTCACATTTCGGTAAATGTAGCAAATATAGCAAAGTGAGCATTTTGGTGCACTATTGTGCAGCAACCGCATTACTGCTCTCAATTACAACATACTTCAAAAAGGACAAAAATCATTTAGATTTTTTAGTGTTAAGATGTATTTTGAAAATAAAATTTGGGAGGTTGGCCACAGCCACTTCACATTCACAAAACTTTTAGTCCCATGGATTGTTTCTTAAATATACAAAACTTGATGATCAACTGATTTGCAAGTGTGCACTTATTAACGAGACCTGCATGCCGAATTTTCTTTTTATGCTTTTACTTACTTTGTCTTTCGTTTCCTTTCCCAAAGCAGAAGCCAGTTAGAGATTAACTTGGCTAATTTTTTCGTTTTTAATTGATAAAACCAACCAAGGTCTCTCTGTATGCATTCATTGGATTAGCCAGGCCAACTCAGAAAAAGCATTTACTAGCAGTCATAGTTAAGTTCATCGCTGGTGAGCGCAAAGTTACATAAACTTCCACAACACTTCTGCAATAAGTGGGGACTCATTTCGAGCATGTGCTGTGAACGCCACACTCAAATATAGTGCCCAGTGAATACCATCAATATAACTACGAAGTCACTTATGTTCCAATTTGTTTTCAGACCGGCTTGTGTAAGCTACGCACACTAGTGTGAAGTCACTTCTGAAACCCGCTGTGCTGTGACCTGTGAACGTATCTGCATTCTCTATCCTTCCATTTTTGAACAAGGTAACCACTGCCAAAGCGGTGAGTTGGGCTCCATATTTTCTACAAAAAATTCTAGGACCATGGTACTTGCAGCGTTATAAACCAAAACGTCACCGACATATTACCAGCAAAACCAGAGTATGGCTTTCACTTTTCAGTCCATGCACCACTTCCATGGCTGTTAAGGTACTTTACTTTACCTAGGTACTTACCTATGTACAAATAACTGGAAATTGGCATCTAGGTACTTTTATTGTATCTGAAATACAAACCTAGGTATTTTCATTTCTCGGGATCTGCATCTGTATCTTAGGCACATTTTCCAGTAATTTGTAACTAATTAGTGAGGTTACTTTTTACAGGTACTCTTCTATTCACTTCGTCAAAATGGTAAAAACTATAAATCTTAAAGCATTAACACACTACCATGTGCCATGATTAACAGTGAGTTGGGTACGATCTGGAAGGCACCGACTTGGTCGAACAATGATTTAGCGAACGAAGCCCCGCCCATCAAGTTTCATCGAACAACATTTTAGCAAATGGCAGTGTTCATTTGAACGAACGGGGGAGGACTTGAGGTACTGCCGCCCGGTGGTCGATAGCTTAATCGCGGCGATCGATGAGAGGTTTGCAGATATGAAAGAACAAAAAAATTTGATAATATTTGCCATGTGCCATCCAAAACTTAGCAATGATAAACAACGAAGCGGAACAGAAGCGGGCCTGGGATTATCTAAAGACTGAACTTATGCCAACAGCAACCATGGAAAAAGCGTCGTCAGGCGAACAAAGTGATGACGATGAAGACTGCAAGCACTACTTTAACTTCGAAACAGTGTGCTCATCCGCTTCATGAGAGCAGGAATTTGTACAGTACACCGAACTTGCTCCGACAAGGAGTCTGGAGTGTCTCAAGCACACGCCGCGGTTAAGAAGTGTGTTTCTAAAATTCAACGCTGGGCTTCCAAGCAGTGTGGCGGTGGAGCGCGTTTTTAGTGTAGGAGGAACAATTGCTACTAAACTGCCGATCGAAGATTTCAGATAAACACTTTGAGGAGGTCCCGATTCTAAAATCAAATAGAGCATGTGAAAAAGATAACGTGTCCTGGAATGCTCATGTGAATGCGGTTTTCCTTATTTCTCGCATTGACACCAAAAGCATATTTATTGAACTTGTTTTTGTGTGTATCCTAAGTATAAAAAGCTTTACTTCCAATATATTGACGAAATTGGGGAAAATAAGGAAAGTATCTTTGAAGTAACTGTACCTATACCTATTTACATTTTTAAGCGAGTAACTAGGTACATACTTTAGGTACCTTTTCATATCAGTAACAGTATCTCAGGTACATTTTAAGTAAATTTTACAGCCCTGAGCACGAGTAAAGCAAATATCAGGAAATTACAAAAGCCCTCAGTGCAAATGAGTGCATCTATGAAGTTGTAAGGTAAAATAGAATTCATGTCTAATTTATAGTTTTTCTCTGTTCATCAAGTTTAGTCACTGCCTCCCCAAAAGTTCAATGCTGTTTCTTCAGAATGTTTTATGACACATGCAAGGCCCCTCAAATGTGGGAGTGTTACAGGCACAATCTGCAAGGTTCTTAAAACGCATTAATTTAAAACAAGGAAAAAAGAAAAAAAAAAACTCTCCTAAAAAAAAAAAAGTTAAGTTTTTCAAGTTAGCACGAAATTTAAATGCAATCGGTAATCATTTTTTTATTAAAAGATAAAATTCAAACATTTCACGTATCTATGCAATGTGCTTGGCCCCATCACAACATTTCCAATAGTGGAAGTAGGGCCGGTACATTTTCTTGGGTAGCCAAACAGAAGTATATATATTTTCTTTTATAGAGTAACATTTTTCAGTCAGGTCTCGGTCATCTCCTCAGGTCCCTCGCCTCGATGACGTGGTTGACAGCTTGGCGTAGGGTCCTTATCACCTCCCTGGGATCCTCACTCTTCGTGATGGCTGTTCCAGAAACTATCATGTTGGCTCCAGCCTGCAATGAGACATGTTTCATTATACTGCATGGAAGTGCATAACCATAGGTGCCAGGCATGCTGCCTATTACAACCGGAATGGTGCCCCCCTGAGGTTATACTACTAATAAGAGTGAGGTATCTCAAATCTGCCCTTGCATCATTCCAACTCTGACTAGAACCACAGGTGTTTGAAACACGGTTCTTGTCCTGAAAGCAAAGCTAAATAAGTAAGACAAAGATGCAAGCAATTTGCAGAGTAAATACACTGTCAGTTTTTATCTAATGTTTTGACTTCAATGCAATGATATATGTACATACATATTTCCATTATTTTACTCAAAATGGGGGAACCTGGTTTCTTTTCTTCATCCTCTGCCTATCAGGTGTCACCAAATTTCTCTCAACGCTGCATAAGTAAAGCACTCTCTCTTTCTCTCTCTCTACAGTGAGCAAGAAAGAAGATTGAAAAGTGCATGCCTTAAGGAATATTCGGAGGGTTTCCTCTGAGTACAACTTTTATTGAGTGATAAAAGAAACACGCCAGAAATCTTGTATTAGCAAACTTACACTCTTGGTTGGCAATTAACTAAGTAAAACTTGACCGCGAGGGTAGACAAAAACAGAGACCAACACAGATCGGAGGTAGTGTTGAGTTTGTCCCTTTTATATTTACCCTTATCTCGGAGTTTAGTTTTATTATATCTCACTAGCTAGCCCTTGCACTTACTCTGCTCTCACCATTAACAAAATAAAATTTGGGCGGAATAACTGAATTTAGATTGGGATTTTACTAATCCCATATCGCTCAGTGGGCCAAAAGAAAGAGGTTAGTAGGTGAAAAGCCTGCTTTTTGGTATAAAAATATGTAAACATAGCGGACTATTTTGTTTCTCGTTCCCTTCAAAAGCACCGCCTTTTCACTGTGATACAACCGCTGTACCCAAAGCACGTCAGCCGGCCCCAGCTCACGCACTGGACATGAGCACTGCATCGCTATTAGCCCCGAGAAGTTCGCCTGGCGCCCCCTTACGGCGAACCGGGGTGACGTCACGGCGAGGAGAGAATTTTTCCCCGACTCGCCCCGCTCGCCCTGTGGAGGCTGTGACGACGCTGGCTGTCGGCGCGCTCCTTTCTATTTAATTTTTTTTTGCGTGTTTTTCGTAGGAAGTGTAAATTTTTATATATGCCTTTATTGAGGTATGGCCTGTAGCTACAGGCGAAACCTCAACGAACATTTTAAGCATGGCTGACAGGCCAGGCAACGCATGAACCGCAGGTGGTATATGAAAATAAAGAAATATGGCCACAATTGCAGGGGCATCACTACAGATTTACATCTCGCACAATAAACGCTGCTGATGGTCCGAATGAATTGGCAGGTTATGTATACTACTTTTTTTTTTTTTGTATCTCTGTCGTTAAACAAGATCGCCGAAGCAGAAAAGCTGCATGCTGCTCGAGCAACGTGCTAAATACAGTCTCGGCCATGGGGAGAGAATCACAATTGTAAAACAGCCCAAGTGCAGGGGCAAAGTAAAAAAACAAACAAGGAACATTTGTTATATACATTGCTCGCACTTGACCTTCGCTGGATTCGGATAGTATTTCAATGGACTACACGGGTGGTGTCTGTGGACTTGTTTATATCAATCCTAAAGTAATATATAACAAACGTAAGTTAAGGTGTCTAGCTCGTTATTAGTCCACTAAGCCCTAAAATTGAGATTTTACTTAAATCGAATTGTCCTGAAGCTAAAGTACCAGAAGGTTTTCTCACGGAGACTGTCGCCCTTCACAGGTTCCACATTTTCTGCTACCAGTGCTGCATCTTCCACTGGACAGACGTTCGAATGCTTGCTTTTACTCCTGTTTTCCTCTGTTGTAAGAGAGTCCAGTTGCAGGGAGTTTGGAGGCTGAGGAAGCTTTTTGGGACCTGCGGCAGTGACTCTTAAATGGAAATGACAATTCAGACTAAACGGTGTATTTTCCGAATACCAAAGGCTGGAATAAAGAATGTCAGGAAAAAGTATAAACATTCCAAATTACGGCACTATTGCTGTGCATATTTTGGGCAGTTTACTACATATCATAGAGGCAACTGGGGGAAATTCGGCCGTTTTTGCTGCTACCATACAAACTAATTTCCAGTAATTGTGAATCCTCTAAGAAATATGCCTGCATACGCGTATAAACTATATAATTAATTCAGGAAGAAGCTACATTTATGTAAAACAACCCTGTTCCATGAGCACTTCAAAGATCATCAGACGCAGTGCCTTTAAAACATCTGCAAACCAGCGCATGCAGAGTGGCAGCGCAGAGTCGGGGTCGCGAGCTAATTTGCCGACCACCGAAAGGCCCATGATATAAAGGCCGCTTCAAATGCCTTGAAAGCGGGATTTAATATCGTCCTAAATCATGAACATGCAAGGAACAGAATTCCAGCGTCTGAAACACTTGCGTCACCGCTTCACCGACCCCTCTCAAGATTGCCTTGCGTCGTGTGGACGGACAGGGAGATTCATCGGCGTAATTGCCTCCGCCGATAGTTTTCGGGATTTGTAACCCAATTTGAAAGGTAAAAGGGACAAGCGGGCTTATAAAATGTACGGAAGCACGTTAATATCGGCCTAACTCAACGTCTTGTACACCGGGTAAACGAAGTCCGGCTCCTCGAAGAGCTTGCGGCACACAACGCCAAACCAGGAAACCGGTGCTGGGAAACGACCCGATGCGAGATCGCGGAGCGGGGTACTCGCCCTGACGTCACGGTACACCTCACCCAATCAGGGCACGGCGACCGCAGCGACGCTTGTGTTTGCTCTCGGGGCTAATACTCTCTCACTATACTCCGTTCACCCCTAAGCCGACAGTGCGGTGGGAGCTACGCCTTTACCAGACCAATCAGCTGCCTCCCTTTCATCACCCGACCCCATTTTTATGCGCATGGGTATATGCGAGGGAGCATGATCATGTGGCAAAAGATAGAAGCGTGACTGGCCCAACAGGCACGTAGCTTCCACAGCACTGTCAGCTTAGGGGTGAACGAAGGATAGTAGCACATTTTACTGCGGAAGCCACGGGCGGGAAAGGGGGGCAGGGGTGAAGCAATCTTTGTTGAATTTTGTGCAATGGGCTAATCTTCTAGGTTAGTATGGCAACGTGCGGGTACACAAAGGAAGGTCTGAGCAAAAGAGGAGTTCATCCTTTCCCTCCTCTTGAACTGCTAGCGGTATACCCTCGTCCTTGTACCTTTGGTAACGCTGCGTGATTTGCAAGTTGAAGAGGAAAGCTAGGAAGAAAAGTTGAAAAATCATTACAAAGCGCCTCTGAAGGCTCAACTCAGAAAACCATTCTAATCAATTTCGCAGAAGAGGGCTAACCAAATCAACAATGTCTAACACCTACCAAAGCAGGGATAATATTTCCTAGTATCATTTCCAAAATTATTTTTAAGGTTGACGTGCCTCTATTATGCAGGATTTTGAACTTTTTGAGAAATTGCCATTTACCTTAAAAACTCTATCCGGTAAACCTTTTTACAGTTCAAAGTTATATGAAAACACAAATCAAATTTAGAGAATTCTGACTTGGTAAGACAATGAGCTGTTTCTCTTACCCACAATCTTCACTATCTTACCATAAATGTAGTAAAGTTCAAGTACTTTTGAACAATTTTTTAAATTTGTGATCACAACGATTCATTCAGCATGCTTTCCCCGCTGCACAGGTAAGCTGCAGCAAAGCGACATTTGCAGTGACGGTGCCACAGGAGGTTACAAAAGGAAAGCCACTCTTTCGTGCAGACTCGAGCATACATTAAAAAAAATAGTTGCTTGTGTACAGTCATGAACATGCAAAGCTGAAATGATTGAGCAATGAGCAAAAAATATTGGTGGTGCCGCCCCAACACAAGAAGTTAAACTATCAATGAGGGCTAGTAAGCGGACGAGAAGGCAGTCCCATGCTACCTGGCTCAGCCTGAACATGCTTAAGAATTGTGTGCCATTGCTCTGCACATGCTGTGACTGTGCTCGTTTCTACCTATCATCACTTTTGCCTGTTCAGACATTGTAAAAGTTATCTGACCAGCGTTAGGACCACATGCCTATATAATAAAGGCAGCAGCAAGTGTGGGCATACAGAAGCAAAGAGTGAGGGCAAGTTATATGGCATGCTCCTAAAACAAGGAAAAGGAACAGGCGGAGTTAGATAGCAGTAGCCACTGCACTCTCCTTTCGCCTGCATGCTATCTCACGTTGCTTGGTTAACTTCTCGCATTGAGGCAGCGACACCAATACCTTTTGGTCATCGCTCGGTAATTTCAGCTTACCTCGTCCATGAGTGTACAAGTCACAAAACATCCAAACGTTCCTTCAACGAACTGAGGCCAGATTCACATAACGATCTTACGAAGAAAAAGGTATGTACGACAAAACCTAAGAACCAATCCGTATTCGCGAAGCGAAATTATTTTAAGTTTTGCGTAGGTTACGACGGAGTCCTACAACAGCTCCAGAGGCGTCTTACACACTTTTTACGATCAAATCCACATGGTTGACAACACTGCTCACTTACATCGTAGCGATGACCAAAGGGCATTTATTTTTCTTAAGTGCTCTCTACGTGCATCTCGACTTCAAGCAGTAAAAAAAAAAAAGATAAGTGCAAAAAATAGATCGCTGTGGAGACGAACACTGAAACCACACATACCCGGAAAAAGCTACAGTGGCAACGATCTCACCGACCAAGCGACCGTCAACAATTAGCTGGAAATGCTAAGCCTAGCAAGGCACTCCGACGCAACGTTGCTCCGACGTCCCTTGCCGAGACTGTCTGCCCACGACTGGCTGATTTGCAGAATGGAACACGCCCGCACAACCTTCCAAGACCCTCACCATTTGAATAGCTTGAGCCCTAACCTCTATTTCCGGGATTGAGTGTCAGTTTCTTCCCCTTCTTTTGAGAGGCAGTGGTGACGAACATTCTCATCAAAAAGGGATACTCTCCATGATTC